TACATGCGTCCTATCCCTTCTCTGGTCTTCTTGACTCCAGCGTGACATTGGACACAAGTGGTTGAGAGAGGAGAAAGAGTGCGGTAGATGCGCAAGCCTACTGTCACTTAAAAATAATTCATACTCAAGTCACCGCTTTTGCCCTCAGTTTGCTGAAGGCAAACACTGTGGACATCGCTGAACCCGACGGTCGAACTTAAGCAACACGACAGTGTCACTTGTTGGCTTTCGGTGTTTCAGGACTGTTCATCCAACAAGTAAGCCTCAGCTGATCTTAGACAGCTTGTCGCCTACTGGAAGTCGCGAGGGATGCGTGCGGCTTCCAGTTAGATCACAACGAATTCCATGTGGCTCCAAATTGTCGCCAAACTCTTATCTGTGACTACGTCCCAGTAATTGCTTCGACTGCGTGCTGAACCAGGGTGGGAATGATGAGCTTGTCTGTTCAATGCCACTTTAGTTCTTGAGGTCATCAGTCCTCTGAGGCGAGGTGTAAATAGAGAAGGAGTTCAGGCCAGTTACTATGTTCACGCCTGCTTCCATTGTTCTTGGCTCACTCCTGTCATTGAAGTCTAATGGGTTTGGAAAGAAGCAAATGGTATACGAGTCTTTCGCACCGTAATCCGACGGCCGTGGAAGGTATCGTTGCTCTTCCGATCGCCGTGCTAGATGAGAAAACTCGCAGTATGTACCCGACTGTAGCACTGTAATACTTCATCAGTGCAATATTCTTCCTTTTACACGAACCCTTTGGCAATGTGCCCAGCGGGAATCCTAACTCTTATTCTACATGCATGGTGCTAATAATTCGCAAGCTTGTTCAGTCACCACTTACAGATACAGATTTTCTCTGTTCTCCCTCGCAAATTCGGGCCACGTGCTACAAACACTGTCTTTCTTATTATGGGCCTTTATGTACACAAGTGGGCTACTATGTTCCCCGAATAAGTAACTTTTAGGCAATCATTTATGGTTTGCGTTCGTACAGACTTTTTACATCCTGACGCTTGGAGATTGTGTACATACTTCCAGTGGTTGCTACTTTATAGTTTGTCACTGCATGTTGTGGATGTGGTTGCTGCTACTGTTAAGTAGAGAATGACTGTCGGTGCAATTCGTTCAGAGCAACTCCTACTATAATTTATGGATCATAGCGCGATGGCTGCCTAAATATCCCATCAAATTCTGTCTTACCGGAAGGCGGTTGCATGAGACGTGTTGATTCAAACTCAATTATTTCTGGCGAGTCTTTTTTACCCATCAAACACTGCACTTCCTCTTAGGTTTTGTAAAAGGACAATTTAAAAGACGGGCAACTGCTCCGCCCCTGAGGATTTGGTTGTAAGTTTCGTCAGACGAACTTTCAGCTCATTGGGTTACCGCTACCCTCTTGTTGTAGGCCACATCCCCGTAGTAATCGTTATCATCCTGAGCTTGGTTAGTTTACATTATCAACTTCAAGTGTCGCTTGACCTTATGCCGTACCGCCTGACCGTTTTCAGCGAACTAGAACTGGGAAGTCTATGGTTTCGTGCACTTTTCTTGTGTCCAAAAGTGTTTGTGTGGTCGAGCTTGCTCACGGCGCTCGTTAGTGCAAGAATGTGTGTTCTGTCGAAGTCGACGGCATATTACTTAGTGAAAATTGATCTGACACAAATTTGATTTCCCCCGATATTATTAGCACCTTTTGCTCGCCTTGAGTCTCTCCGTGCTTTTTCCAAAACGTTTTCTCCCTAGGTTTTCTTGAAAGTCATACTGTCTTTCTGTCTGGCCCCGTATAGTTTGAAGTTGCTTTACTGTCTCATCCATACTTAGGTTATTAATCACATAAATGCCTATTTCAACCCTTTTCCTTAAAGCGCACCTCTAGTTGCTGGTGGACCTAAGGATTTCTCCCTTCCCGGTCGT